CAAATTTTATTTATTTAATATTTACAAGATACAAGTTATAAATATAACTTATAAAATAAATATTAATGAATATAAGTAATAACTTATAAAGTTTAAACTTCAAAAGATTTAAATTTTGAAAATTTTATTAGATTACTTGCAAACTTAACAATAATCAAAAAAATTAATAAAATATCTTTAAAATAAACTTAAGTTAAAAATTATAGTATAAATTTAAAAACTATTAATTTATACTTAAAAATAAAAAAAATTATATTTTCGTAATTTAAAAAATATCGTCCCGTTAATCCCGTCCCGTTCCATCCCGGTCCGTTCCAGTTCATTCCGGTTCCGTCCCGGTATATAGTGGAACGGGACGGAACCGATGAACCATCCCGGTAATTCCAGTTCGGTTCATCCCGGTACCGGTCAAAATTCCGGTCAACGGACTCCGGTCCGGTCCGGTACCGGTTCATTCCGATCCGGTGACTCGGTTCCGGTCCGTTGACCAGTCTTATTCATGATAAGAATAAGTTTATGATAAGCTTAATGGACAATCTACTTAATTTAATGTATTTATAACAAAAATAAAATAAGAATAATATAATTATTATTTTAATTAAATAAGTTCAATAAATTAAATTAATCTATTATTAAAAAAATATAATGATATGGCATGCCAACAAATTTGAGCTTTAACCACTTGTATCACACGACTCATTGAGCTATAATTTTAGATTCGAAGCAAAGTTAATGAAATTGCTTACATTTAGAAAACCAAAATAATCAACTCAAATAGATAATACATACATTCAATAATTATTTATTTATGTTATCAAAAAATTCATAATATCACAATTTTCACAAGAACTAATTTCTACTCATGAAATAAAAACACTCGAATTAAAACTAAAAAAAAAAAATCAAAAATCAAATCCCCCAACATCACCAAATCCACCATCAAAACCTCCTCCAACATCTGATATTGCATCTCCGATTATCATTCCTCCAAGTGCTCCACCAAGCAAACCCGCCCCTAATCCTAACGCCATGTTATTATTATTCTTCTTCGGCGGCCGTTGCACCTGTGGATACCCATATCCATGTCCACCTTGATGAGGTGGATATCCATACTGCGGTGGCGGAGTATATGCCGCCACCGGTGGATATCCATATCCATATCCTCCCGCTGCAACTGGTGGATAACCCATCGGTTGCGGTGGATAACCTGCCGTTGCAGATGGTGGATATGCCACCGGCGGTGGAGGAGCAGGACCACTCCCACCAGAAGCGTAGATCGGAGGCGGTGGGTATAGCCCACTTGGACCTTGCTGCGGCGGCGGTATTGGTGGGTACACAGAAGTGGATCCCACCATCGGGGTTGGATTTGCCGCCGGATAAGCAGTAACGGGGTTTTCAATTTTAGAATCAACGACAGTATTACCGGTGATCTTATCACTAAATTGATAGGAAAAAGTGAGTTGACCTTTGGGTTTACCGGAAGGTTTTCTGATTTGATAACTTACAAATTGTTTAGTGGTATTGGAAGATTCGAGAAGCTCTTTGATGGGTACCTCAACTTGTCCAATATCTTTATCTCCAAGCGCCCTTTGACATCGAAGCTTGAAAACAAGATGCAAACGGTTTTGAACAGCAGGGCTATCATCTATGGTGAATTTGATGGGGAAATTCCAGGTAGGGTTATTGTCACCGTCATGATCAACGTGGGTTTTGGTTTTCTGATTAGATCTGTCGTCATCGGCGCCGGAGATTGAAACGACGACGTATACATCCATTTTTGTGATGAGATTGACCTTGTTGAGATCTTTTCCGGAGACAACATTTATGTCTAATGTTGGATACTCCATGGATTTTTTTTCAGTAGAGAAAACAAAAATGGAAGTGAAAATTTGAGATGAATTTAGGAGATAAATAGGGAGGAGAGGTCAATGTGTTCAAGGAAGATGATGATAATAACTAACCATGGTTGTAACGTTATTAACCATGTATGGTTAAAGACCTACTCTCAACTCTAACCCCACTTGGGGGCATAATTTTGTATTTTTTATTTATTTTTTGCAAAATTAAAGCCAATATGGATTAATTTAAACCTTAAATATTTTAATGTAATCATGATTTCTTAAGATGAGAATGGGTTTAAAAGGAATAAAGGGAAATCGTCAAGGTTTGCTTTCAGTGGATATTGTTGTTAAAAAAGGTTATTTATTGTGGAGCTTGAATTAGAAATTTTAGTGTGAGTTGAAGTTTTAGTAACAAGTATGCGATATTTTGGATATTTTTTTTTATTATATTTTCGTGTGAGGATATATAGATTAGAAGTTGACAAACTCTGGATGCATGATTAATTAAGGACTCTAACCAAATGCTTAATATAAGAAGGAAATCACTCCAAGATTTTTAAATATACTTTGTCTAACAATTTCTAAAAATTCAAAAATATCTAAGTTTCGTCCATTTAATTTTTGCAACAAAAAAGTGAAAAAGATAATTATTTCAGAAATTTGAATTTGTTTCTTTGAGTTTTGAATTTTTCTTAATTTTATTTTCAATTTTCATGTTTAGAGAACAGCACGTTCGTGCATTCTAGATGATTATTATTGGGAAATTTATATAAATATACTATGAATAAAAAATATTTATCATTTATAGCAATAATATTTTTTTATTTAATCATTTTTAATTTATTTATAATACAAGTTTAATGCATATTACAAAGAACAGTTTATAATTTACATATAATACAAGTTTTAATGATAATTAATACATTTATCATACATTTTAATACACTTATAATACAATGTGTCTAATTTTTACCAAACAAACATAATATATTTTCAAAAAAAATTATAATTCATATAAATTGCATACATAATTCAATTTTAATACATATTGCAGATTTAACATAATATTTCTATAAGTGGTAATAAATAAAAAGTATATCTAAAATCTATAATTATTTATTAAAACTTATCAATTTATGCAATTTTTCTATTATTAGTGTTGAATAATATGATAAAAGTATATTGTTGTTTTTGAATTAAATACAAATTTTGATTTGAAAATCTTATATAAATCAAAATTATTAATTAACTGGATTAGAATACGTGTCTATTACTAACGTATTTAAAGTATGTATCTGATTCATGCATTTAATTTCCTTAAATGCATTTCATTAGGTGTATTGCTATATACGTGTATCTGATACATATTTAGTGACTTAGATGTATTAATTATGTATCAATTACATGTAGCATATATAAGATACATGCAATTGAAATTTGTTTATGTACCTGAACTACGTATCGAATAAATTTGGATTGCCGTAATTTCATAAAAGAAAACGTAAAAATATGTATATATTATAGTTAAGTATACCAAATTATGTAGTTTACACTAGCTTTTAAGATGTTTTTCTATGAATCTGATTCTCAAATTCAATGAAGACATAATTAGCGTACCATATTGTACATTATTAGATATGAGCATATAAATACCTCTTATAATATAGTATATCAAGTTTTTAAATATTATTGTAAAAACTTGTATGACAATTTTGTATATTATAACATATTGGAGGTATACCAAGTTGTATTTTCAATTATTTTGGCATATGTTATTATATATAGTTAATAACTATATTTTTCTGAATTTTTTCCAAAAAGAAAAAAAATCAGTGGAAATAAAGTTTTCTAATAAGATATGATCTTTTTATTCACATTTTAAAATATATATATTTATTCACCAATTAACCCTGATTACAATAATACCTTCACTATGTATCTTTACCACTTATGACTACGAGGAATGCCCAAAGGTCAAATTAACTAAAAGTTTAATTCATATGCCCCATATCAAATTTATGATAAAAATTAAATTATTTAACTTTTAGAATTTGAATAATATTATATAAATTGAGATAAAAAATATTTATTTAAATAAAAACTAGATGAGTGAAATAATATTCAATGCAGCGTATTTATATTAAATATAATTGTGAATTGGTGTTGGTACTTGCTATATTGTATTTGCATGCACAAGTACATAAATTGTGTTTGTTGCATATAGTACTACAAACTAACAAAACGAATGGGATATTAATTTGTGCACAAGTGAACAAATGTTTTTGTTTTTATTGAGATAAAAATATATATATATATATATTAATAATAAACCACAGTACTCAAGTCACTATTTTAAAAAATAGAAAGTAGGGAAAAGTACTTGTAAGTTTTAGTCAACAACAACCAAGGAATAGGAACCTAAATAAAGAAACATTAGAAACTTTTATGGCAGAATAAAATATATATTTGGTAAGAAGATTTAAAATATATAAAAATAAGAGAATTCAACATTAATTATTATTTATATGATTTAATTTTTTTGACGAAAGAAATTTAGATAAACATAACCACTTAGGTACCTTAGCTCTGCCTTTTGGAATTAGAAGAGCAGTGTATATGGACAATTTGGATTTTTGGCATATGATATTAGGAATGTTCTACGAACCCACAAAAAGTTCATGTTTCATGTTTGACTACTTCTCGTTCTGCAGTTTGTTTTTATACGTCAATTTTTTTTATAAATAATTAGATTATAACACTTGTTATTTTATAAAATTAATGGATAAATTATTATATTTTTTCTATTATACTTTTGATAGAATAGTCAAGTAGTTTTAAAAGAATATACTTTGGCCAACTTAGAAAAACTAATAAGTAATTAATATTAATTGAAGTATTTCATATATTGATATTTCTCTCTCCATTTACTATTCTATAAAATCTGATTTTAAAAATAAACTCATAAATTTGTTCAAAAGCATTTTAATTTTTAAAATCTAACATTTTTATTATTAATTGAAAAGTAACTTAAAACAATATTGAATAAGAATAGAATGATAAATTTATTTAATTTTTTAATATCACTATAATTTTAAAAAATGACAAAAAGAGTACATTTGAATGATTAGCGACTAATTAAGAAAAGTCTAGATGATATTTGTGTGGCCCTTAGCTTTAAACAAGCAATTAATTAAAAAATAAAAATAAGAAGGTAGCAAGAGTATGTGGTCTATTTGTAGAAGTTGATTAGGTTATCTACCATAAGAACCAAAATTGCACTATATAACCTAATAATGTAGGAGAATTTCCATTTTCCTACAAACACAAAGACTGGTCCACAAGGGCTTGGTCAAATCTATATATAGAACTATACATTCATTTAGGGTGGATATGACATAGTATGGTGTGGTATTAAAATTTTTGATTTTTTATTTTGAAAAATATTATGTCATTTATCATATAAAACCAATTCTATATGGTTTAGTATTTTTGAAGTTTATTTTTGATATTTTATGACAAAATAAATTACCGGTAAATGATAATTGTTTGACTTATAATACTCTCTCAGTCCGGTATTGTTTGACATGGTTTCTATTTTTAGAGTCAAATTATATAAACTTTGACTAACATTTTAAGATGAATTTTTTCATCATATTAATATGCAAAAAATTGTAACTTATAGTACTTTTCATATAGTTTTAGAATATGTAATTTTTTTGTTTAAAATATTAAATTAATGTAATCTAATTTACCTTTGAAAATTAATCAAATTAACTTTTGATAAGCTTAATATGACAAATGATTTCGAACAAAGAAAATAGTATTTATATAAATAAATATAAATTACGATTTTCATGCTTTTAATGATGACTCAATTATATATATTAATATATTATATATATAGAAATATTCAAATAAAAGTACAATAGATTCTCTTTATTAATAAATTACATAAAAGAACACTTCAATCGAATGAAGTAGTAATCAAAGTTTCAGCGTCTAAATAGTTAATTTTCTTCTAACGTTATTTTATTTATTTGTTAATATAATAATAAGATAATGAATTGCATATCTAACAATATAGGTCAATACTGTATTTAACATTTTAGTATTTATTTTATAAGTATCAAATATTATATTGAATATAAAAGAAAAAGTAAAATGCATATCTATATAATTTAAAAATTCGATATAAAATTCAATTTTAATATGATATACAATATTTATCATACCATACTCATATATAATTTCAGCACAACTTATTCAGGCTGTAACTCTCTTGATCAAATAAAATATGATTATCTAAATTTAAGTTTTTGAATCTCATTTTTCATATTAAAGTTTACCTCCATATCAACATTTTATTGTTTAAAACAATAACATTAATATACTAACAGTAGAAAAAGAAAAAGGCATATACTCTTTTAACTTTACTTTTTAAATTTGATATACTTTAAAAGTAAAATAACTTTACAACTAAATATCTTGTTTTCTTAAAAAGATGTTTTTTTCTTAAAAGTGTTTTTGATCTCTTCACAACAATGCCATGAAATTAAAATATATATATATATATATATATAAAATTTAGATACGTGTTTAATATATACTTCACTTTAAAAAAATATATAATTTTAATCCCAATAAAAGAAAAAGGTACATCATAGAGCACTTGCAGAAGACCAGTGACAAGTGTGTATATGACTTAAGGAATCTTCTATGATCCCAACACTTCATATTTCATGTTTGAATCCTTCTTCTTGACGCCTTTAGTACACTGTTTGTGTCTCTGAATGATTGGTCACCAAGGAAAGTCTACATGATACTTGTACGACCATTTGAACAATAAAATAAAATAATAATGAGATAAAGGGTCATTTAAATTATTATTTTTTAGTTTCGCAATTAAACTATTAGAAGTGTGAGTTTTGTATTTAATCTATTACTTATCACTTTGAGAAACACGTATCAGAGGAGGAGTTAGGTGGGGTTCGTGGATTCGCATGAATTCAATATTTTTTTTATAGATTCAATATTTATACTAAAAAATTAATAAATAATATGTATATTAATTTGTGAACTCCTAACAAAATGAATTGATGATTCAATAATAAGGAACGGACTATACATA